TTTTTGTTCAACTGAATACTGAAGGTTCATTCAGCTAAGAATGAAGGTTACACAAATAACCCGCACATAAAAGACAGAAGCTTACGACGACGTTTCGGTCCGACTTGGACCATTGACAAAGTCAATGGTCCAAGTCGGACCGAAACGTCGTCGTAAGCTTCTGTCTTTTATGTGCGGGTTATTTGTGTATCGTTCCAGTCACGGTATTGTGCCTTTTTGTTATTTAAGAATGAAGGTCTTAATTTATAAGTGGTATATAAAGTCTGTTTATATATAATTAAGAAAAAGGTACAACAAAATACCTTAAGTCTATAACGATATCTACTTTATATTAAAGATACATTTTACAAAGTTTTTCGATCTCCTTATAACCTTATTAGGATATAACTGGAGAATAGTTCTCCTTAAAAACTCCCCTAGACTAACAATGCCTATGGTTTATAAAGTTTATCATAATACACTACTATCGTCTTCTCTCACCCAAACCAAACCATACTAACAGACACTGTAAATGCTGAACTGTTAAAAATATCTACAGTGGTATCCCGAGTTTCATACAGCTCCCAACTCAAACAATTATCTAAGTGTATTATTGTAAGTGCTTTTGTAAGTGTATTTTGGGGGGTCTGAAACAGACTAAGCTAATTTACATTATTTCTTATGGGAACAAATTCGTTCGGTAACGGCACTCGAACAGCCTTCTGTAACGAATTATGACCGAATCTCATGGTACCACTGTACCTGGATGACTACCAACAAACTTACTCTCAATGTAGACAAAATCTACTTCATGCTATTTGGAAACAGAGCTTCAAATGTACAGCTAAACATATTGATAAATGGTTCACCCATTTCCAGACAAACAGAGGGCAAATTTCTAGGTCTCCACTTTGACTTCCTGCTCTTTACCACTCTCTCATCTACCCTTACCTCACCCATGGTATTTGTGCATGGGTTTCAACCTTTAATTATACAACAGAAAGCTGCTGCGAGAATGAGTATGAACTCCTGCACCATGCAACACACCCCACCGCTACTTAAGAGCTTGAACCTGCTTAACATACAAAATATCCACTTGTATTATTGTGCCTACTACATACACAGAACATTATTCTCCAATATAAAGCTTCCCCTCAAATGCCTTCTTGAGAACTACAATAGAGTACACTTGCATAACATAAGACACTCTTTGATATCCCTCATGTCCATCTCTCTCTATGCAAAAAAGGCAAAAGAGACCTAAGATCTGGAATTCATTGCCTAAAAACACAAAAGGGCCCCTGCCTGCACACCAATTCAAGGCACTACTTAGAACTCACCTCACCTTCCAAAACTAACACAAACACTACATTCTATCACCACCACAAACCCAAAAAGTGCCAAACTTTATAAGATTATTTCAAAACTAAAATTGTCTCAGTCGCATTATGTATAATGTGCTAAAATATAATACTGTAACTAGTTATGCAACTACTTGTTAATTTAATTACTGCTAAACCGCTACTACCTCTGGTGATACATAATAAACAATGTTCAATTCGAACCAACTATGATATTTTTTTTTTTTTTTCAACAAGTCGCTGTCTCCCACCGAGGCAGGGTGACCCAAAGAGAAAGAAAATCCCCAAAAAGAAAATACTTTCATCATCATTCAACACTTTCACCTCACTCACACATAATCACTGTGTTTGCAGAGATGCCCAGAATACAACAGTTTAGAAGTATATACGTATAAAAATATACAATATATCTCTCCAAACTGCCAATATCCCAAACCCCTCCTTTAAAGTGCAGGCAATGTGCTTCCCATTTCCAGTACTCAAGTTCGGCTATATAAAAATAACCGGTTTCCCTGAATTCCTTCACTAAATATTACCCTGCTCACACTCCAACAGATCGTCAGGTTCCAAATACCATTTGTCTCCATTCACTCCTATCTAACATGCTCACACACGCTTGCTGGAAGTCCAAACCCCTCGCCCACAACACCTCCTTTACCCCCTCCCTCCAACCTTTTCGAGGACGACCCCTACCCCGCCTTCCTTCCCCTACAGATTTATACGCTTTCCATGTCATTCTACTTTGATCCATTCTCTCTAAATGACCAAACCACCTCAACAAACCCTCTTCAGCCCTCTGGCTAATACTTTTATTAACTCCACACCTTCTCCTAATTTCCACACTCCGAATTTTCTGCATAATATTTACACCACACATTGCTCTTAGACAGGACATCTCCACTGCCTCCAACCGCCTCCTTGCTGCAGCATTCACAACCCAAGCTTCACACCCATATAAAAGTGTTGGTACTATTATACTTTCATACATTCCCTTCTTTGCCTCCATAGATAACATTTTTTGCCTCCACATATGCCTCAATGCACCACTCACCTTTTTTTCTTCATCAATTCTATGATTAACCTCATCCTTCATATATGTCTAGTATTAACTAGTCTGTAAAGCATTAAGTTTGGTCTGCCTGAAATGCCTCAGCATGATAGTGGCTTTCTTTGCACTTGCAAATCAATACTGTAATTACACAATGTAAACAAACACCAGCACCCATAATTTAAGGTAGAAATACTATTATTTTTGTTGCAGTTATAGTCTTAAGCAGTAAAAACAACATAATACATCACGACAATGAACTACAATAATATATTCACTTTTACTTTTGTAAGATCTGGAGGTCTAAAAAAAAGTTGCTTGAGGGGGAAGCTTGCATCCTGAATTTTTGCTCGTATCCAGAAACAAAAAATCGACCAAGCAACTGCTCATGCCCTGAAAACTCGTATGATGGGGCACTCGTAAGCCAAGGTTCCACTGTACATCATATTGTTAACTGTTTTAAATTGTTCTATTGTAATACTGAAATTTTTATAAACTAATTCAATAGTGTACTTATTCTCTACTGAAATTTTTAAAAACTAATAGTGTACTTATTCTCTACTGAACTCCTCTACTAGATTTATTAAAGTCATATAGCACTACCTAATAATACTCAATTCTCTTGTACTCACTGTAACTCATCTAATGATCATATGAACTGTTACTGCCTTATTAATCTTCAGTTAATTTAAGTTTGCCTGAAATGCTCTGCATACAAAGGGGCTTTTGGCATGTACACCCAACTATGATATTCCTTTGTACAACCATGTATTATGTCAAAATAAACTTAGTATTATTATTAGTAGTAAACAAATGATGTCACCGTCCAATATGTGTGCAGCTGGCCAGTCTAATACGCAGTCACAAATGAGTTGACATTATTTATAAAATCATTACAATAATGCAGTAGTCTGCATAACAATAAATCTTCTATTTTTTGTGTCAATAAAAACTCAAATTGGAAAGCAAGCATAATATATGAGGGGCCTGGAGACGTGACTAATGAAGAGCGAAAATGTTATTTTAGTGCTAGAAATGTCTGCATTGTTTATGCTGGACTATTTTGAAATTGGCATCTCTTGAAATTTGTGAGGAATTGACCAAATTACTGATTTCTGACCACTTTACTGGGTAGATGAAATAGGTTAGTGGGAGGTTTCTTGTACCTAATCGAAGGAATACTAAAGAAATAGCTATGAGTTTGGTAGACTGGAACAATGGAATGGGCCAAAAATAGGGTGTAGAGTGGATGAAATCGCCAATGCGTAAATATTGCCATTGGGTTAAGCGTATTCTAACATAACCACTCTGTAATCCGGCAAAATCACTAATCCGGCACCCTACAGGTCCCGATGATTCCGGATTAGTGATGGTCAACCTGTACTAATGTCCTACCAAGCAAGTGTAAAACGAAAGCCTGTAATTGTTTTACATGATAGTAGGACTGGTGCTGTCTTTTTTCTGTCTCATAAACATGCAAGATTTCAGGTATGTCTTGCTACTTCTACTTACACTTAGGTCACACTACACATACATGTACATGCATATATATACACACCCCTCTGGGTTTTCTTCAATCTTCTTACTAATTCTTGTTCTTATTTATTTCTGTTTATCTCTTCGAGGAAGTGGAACAGAATTCTTCCTCCCTAAGCCATGCGTGTCGTAAGAGGCGACTAGAATGCTGGGAGCAAGGGGCTAATAACCCCTTCTCCTGTATATATTACAAAATTTAAAAGGAGAAACTTTCATTTTTCCATTGGACCACCCTGCCTTGGTGGGATATGGCCAGTTTGTTGAAAGAAAGATGATGTTATACATGTGTGATGGGGTCAAGTTTGTTTGGTAGAAGTGGTCAAAAACTAGATTTAATATCAAGTTGGTTTGTTAGGCAGTCCTCTCTCCTACATGATCAAGGGCGACACATGCAGCCACTTTGGCACAAGCTCACCAACACAACCCTCTCTGTCACATACCCAGGTACCACAACCCTCTCTGCCACATGCCAAGATACCACAACCCTCTCTGCCACATGCCCAAAAACCACAACCCTCTCAGCCACATGCCCAGGTACCACAACCCTCTCTGCCACATGCCCAGGTACCACAACCCTCTGTTTTTCCTCCACAGCCCAGGCATACAATTACCCTCACCACAACCTTCCAACACCACTTGCTGAGGCACACCCCTCCCTCACTAAAACAGTGAGGGAGGTGTGGAGAGCATCTATAGTGCTTTGTGTCAGATACAATGGGAGAAAGGGAGGGAGGAAGAAGGAGAAGGGGAAGGGAATGTTAGAGGAAGAAATGGGGCTTATCTCAGGTGAGTAAGCTGTGGACACCTAGTATACAGTCAAACCCCTTATATATTTGTTAAGCTCTAAACTAAACAGGTAAACATGAGAGATTATGGCAAGGTTAAATGAGAATGTTTGAGGGGAAGATGGAGAATTAGCAAGTAAGTGGATAAAGAACAAGAGGAAAATGTATTTGTACTGTATTTGAGTCCAATGAATAAATGAGAATTATATTGGGAATTATTAAGGGATTCCTAGCTTTAAACAGAGAAAAATATACATAGTACATGTATTAGATAAAACATTTTCTTCTTACCTTGACTTTCTATGGTTAATTCCTGAAAAACATTAGGCTGGCTCGAGTCATCAATTTTGTTTTCAATCTTTAATTCACTTTTAGAGCCCTGAGGAACAGCTGCTATTTCTAGAGTAACATTTTCTGAAATATTTTCATCAATAGTTTCATTATCATCACTGCTCTTACTCAATGGTGAAGCATTCCCACCATCTGCTATTACCATTGGGAAAACTTTCAAGCAATCTGCAGCTGTTGATACACTAGCTTGGGGAACTTCCACTGCATCAGCATACTCAGAGTCCGGAGTTGATGTTCGTGAAGCTCTAGTCTTAAGAAACTTAACAAAATGTGTATCCCAACATAAGGCAGAATATGAATTTGTCTTAACAGGTGGCTTCCAATTCTGATTTTTCCTTACATTAATAACTGGGATATTTCCAATAAACAGGGAACTAAATGGATTATCATAAATATCACGATCTAGATCTTCAAATTTCAAGGTTAAAAAGGACTTGCAAAACACTCCATGTATAGACCAAAGTTTGAAAAGGCAACCAACATAACCAACTCCACATAGCTGCTGAACAGACCGCATATCACGAAAGTTTCTCTTCATCAGAGACATGACACATATAGTTGGCATAATTTCCTCTGGAGGCTTTTCAAACATCAACAAGTTGTTCATAGCTTTATACAAGGGTGATTGTGGTTTGGACAAGATTTGCTCAGATAAACATCTCAGTTCTTCTTCAATTTTTCTTTTATCCTGGAAAAAATTACCTTCTTTGAGTGTTATAAGCATCTAAAATTCTTTAAAAATATATTATAAATACAGACTAAATGTAATATTAGAGAGAGAATATTCTTTATTTTGGCTGGTTACTAAATATTTCAGCAAATACTGATGTAATGATTTATTTCAAATACAGTGGACCCCCGCTTAACGATCACCTCCCAATGCGACCAATTATATAAGTGTATTTATGTAAGTGCGTTTGTACGTGTATGTTTGGGGGTCTGAAATGGACTAATCTACTTCACAATATTCCTTATGGGAACAAATTCGGTCAGTACTGGCACCTGAACATACTTCTGGAATGAAAAAATATCGTTAACCGGGGGTCCACTGTATAATGAAAAATGGATAGGGGAGCAATGTGCAAATGTTCAAAGTGTATAGAATAGGTAGTAAGTTACTAAATGCTGTAAAGAGTTTTTATGAGGATAGTGAGGCTCAGGTTAGGGTGTGTAGGAGAGAGGGAAATTACTTCCCAGTAAAAGTAGGTCTTAGACAGGGATGTGTAATGTCACCATGGTTGTTTAATATATTTATAGATGGGGTTGTAAAAGAAGTAAATGCTAGGGTGTTGGGGAGAGGGGTGGGATTAAATTATTATTATTATTATTTATTATTATCACACCGGCCGATTCCCACCAAGGCAGGGTGGCCCGAAAAAGAAAAACTTTCACCATCATTCACTCCATCACTGTCTTGCCAGAAGGGTGCTTTACACTACAGTTTTTAAACTGCAACATTAACACCCCTCCTTCAGAGTGCAGGCACTGTACTTCCCATCTCCAGGACTCAAGTCCGGCCTGCCGGTTTCCCTGAATCCCTTCATAAATGTTACTTTGCTCACACTCCAACAGCACGTCAAGTATTAAAAACCATTTGTCTCCATTCATCTCTATCAAACACGCTCACGCATGCCTGCTGGAAGCCCCAAGCCCCTCGCACACAAAACCTCCTTTCCCCCCTCCCCTCCAACCCTTCCTAGGCCGACCCCTACCCCGACCTTCCTTCCACTACAGACTGATACACTCTTGAAGTCATTCTGTTTCGCTCCATTCTCTCACATGTCCGAACCACCTCAACAACCCTTCCTCAGCCTCTGGACAACAGTTTTGGTAATCCCGCACCTCCTCCTAACTTCCAAACTACGAATTCTCTGCATTATATTCACACCACAACATTGCCCTCAGACATGACATCTCCACTGCCTCCAGCCTTCTCCTCGCTGCAACATTCATCACCCACGCTTCACACCCATATAAGAGCGTTGGTAAAACTATACTCTCATACATTCCCCTTTTTGCCTCCAAGGAAAAAGTTCTTTGTCCCCACAGACTCCTAAGTGCACCACTCACTCTTTTTCCCTCATCAATTCTATGATTCACCTCATCTTTCATAGCCCCATCCGCTGACACGTCCACTCCCAAATATCGAATACGTTCACCTCCCCCAAATACTCTCTCCCTCCAAATCTGATATTCAATCTTTCATCACCTAATTTTTTTGTTATCCTCATAACCTTACTCTTTCCTGTATTCACCTTTAATTTTCTCTTTTGCACACCCTCCCAAATTCACCCACCAATCTCTGCAACTTCTCTTCAGAATCTCCCAAGAGCACAGTGTCATCGGCAAAGAGCAGCTGTGACAACTCCCACTTTGTGTGTGATTCTTTATCTTTTAACTCCACGCCTCTTGCCAAGACCCTCGCATTTTACTTCTCTTAAAACCCCCATCTTTTAAAAAATTTTAAAAACAACCACGGTGACATCACACATCTTGTCTAAGGCCTACTTTTACGGGGAAAAAATTTTCCCTCTTTCCTCATACTCTAACTTGAGCCTCACTATCCTCTTAAAAACTCTTCACTGCTTTCAGTAACCTACCTCCTACACCATACACTTGCTACATCTGCCACATTGCCCCCCTATCCACCCTGTCATAACCCCTTTTCCAAATCCATAAATGCCCCAAAGACCTCTTTGCCTATCTAAATACTGTTCACTTATATGTTTCACTGTAAAAACCTGGTCCACACACCCCCTACCTTTCCTAAACCCTCCTTGTTCATCTTTCTACCTATTCTCCGTCTTACTCTTAATTCTTTCAATTATAACTCTACCATACACTTTACCAGGTACACTCAACAGACTTATCCCCCTATAATTTTTTTCACTCTCTTTTATCCCCTTTGCCTTTATACAAAGGAACTATTGCATGCTCTCTGCCCTTTCCCCAGGTACCTTACCCTCTTCCATACATTTATTAAATAATTGCACCAACCACTCCAAAACTATATCCCCACCTGCTTTTAACATTTTTATCTTTATCCCCTCAATCCCGGCTGCCTTACCCCTTTCATTTTACCTACTGCCTCACGAACTTCTCCCCCCACTCACAACTGGTCTTCCTCACTCCCACAAGATGTTATTCCTCCTTGCCCTAAACACGAAATCACAGCTTCCCTATCTTCATCAACATTTAACAATTTCCCCAAAATATTCCTTCCATCTTCCCAATACCTCTACCCCTCCATTTAATAACTCTCCTCTCCATTTTTAACTGACAAATCCATTTGTTCTCTAGGCTTTCTTAACTTGTTAATCTCACTCCAAACTTTTTCTTATTTTCAAAAAATTTGTTGATAACATCTCACCCACTCTCTCATTTGCTCTCTTTTTACATTGCTTCACCCCTCTCTTAACTTCTCTCTTTTTCTCCATATACTCTTCCCTCCTTGCATCACTTCTACTTTGTAAAAACTTCTCATATTAAATTATGAGAATCAAATACAAAATGGGAGTTAACACAGTTACTTTTTGGGTGATGATACTATGCTTTGGAGTTTGGAGGGGTGTAAAATAATAGATGAAAGTGAAAAATAGATAAGAGTAAAGTGATGGGGTTCCATGATTTAGATAAAAAAAAATTTGGGTCCTTCAAATCAAAATGAACCTTTTACTAGTATTTGGTTTGGACATATTTGCTCAGTTAAACATCTAGTCTTCTTCAATTTTTCTTTTATCCTGGAAAAAAATTACCTTCTTTGAGTGTTATAAGCATCTAAATTTCTTTAAAAATATATTATACAATACAGACTAAATGTAATATTAGGAGAGAATAATTCTTTATTTTGGCTGGTTACATAAATATTCCCAAATATGATGTAATGATTTCATTTAAATACAGTGGACCCCCGCTTTAACGATCACTCCCAATGCGACCAATTATATAGTGTATTTAGTAAGTGCGTTTGTACGTGTATGTTTGGGGTCGAAATGACTAATCTACTTCACAATATTCCTTATGGGAACAAATCGGTCGTACTGGCACCTGACCATACTTCTGAATGAAAAAATATCGTTAACGGGGGTTCCCACTGTATAATGAAAAATGGATTGGGGAGCAATGTGCAAAATGTTCTAAAGTGTATAGAATAGGTAGTAAGTTACTAATTAGCTTTAAAGAGTTTTTCGAGGATAGTGAGGCTCAGGTTTTTAAGGTGTGTAGGAGAGGGAAATTACTTCCCAGTAAAAGTAGTCTTAGACAGGATGTGTAATGTCACCATGGTTTGTTTAATATATTTAATTGGGTTGTTAAAAGAAGTAAATGCTAGGTTGTTTGGGTGAGGGGTGGATAATTTCTGGACATCAATACAAATTGGGAGTTAACACGTTTACTTTTTGATGATGATACTATGCTTTTGGGAGTTTGGGAGGGCGTGTAAAGGTAGATAGATGAAAGTGAACATAGATAAGAGTAAAGTGATGAGGGTATCACATGATTTAGATAAAGAAAAATTGGATACCACTATGGAGGGTAGATAAAGAATGAAAGAACAATTAATAAAGAATTAATATTTTCAGATATTTGGGAGTTGACTTGTCAGCAGATGGGTTTATGAAGGATGAGGTTAACCATAAAAAAGAAGTGAGTGGTGCTATGTGGTATCTGTGAAGACACAAAACGTTATCCACGGAGGCAAAGAAGGGAACGTACAAGAGTATAGTGGTACCAACACTCTTATACGGGTGTGAAGCATGGGTTGTAAATGCTGCAGTGAGGAGGAGGCTGGAGGCAGTGAAGATGTTGTGTCTAAGGGCAATGTGTGGTGCAAATATGCAGAGAATTTGTAGTGTGGAAATTAGGAAATTTGGAGTTACTAAAAGTATTAGTCAGAGGGCTCAAGAGGGATTGTTGAGGTGGCTTGGTCATTTAAAGAGAATGGAACAAAGTAGAACGACTTGGAGAGCACATAAATCTGTAGGGGAAGGAAGGCGGTGTAAGGGGTGTCCTTGCAAAGGTTGGAGGGAGAGGGTAAAGGAGGTTTTGTGGGCAAGGGGCTTGGACTTTCAGCAAGAGTGAGTGAGCGTGTTAGATAGGAGTGAATGGAGACGAATTGTTTTTGGGATCTGATGAGGTATTGGAGTGTGAGCAGGGTATTATTTTGTGAAGGGGTTCAGGGAAATTGGTTAGCTGGACTCAAGTCTTGGAAATGGGAAGTACAATGCCTACACTTTAAAGGAGGGTTTTGGGATATTGGCAGTTTGGAGAGACATCTAAACTGTCATATCTGAGAGCCTTTGCAAAGACTGATTATGTATGAGCGATGGTGAAAGTGTTAAATGATAATGAAAGTTTCTTTCTTTCTTCATGGGTCACCCTGCCTCGGTGGGAAACGGCCGTGTTTAAAAAAATAAAGAAAAATAATGAAAAGCATAAGATATACTGGCAATGCTTTTTCTTTTATACTGTAATACTAATACACGTACAGTGGAACTTCATTTTTCGGCCGCTGCATTTATCAGCCGATTTGTATTTAGGTCAGTTTTACTCCATATTTCAGCCATATTAGACGCGGCCCGCCACAACGCCGTGCATAGGCGAGTCAGTCTCCCATTGTCTGTCAGCGAGTGAGCATATACTCCGCGTATTCATCCAAACATTTCCTTAAAATCCATCGTTTTTGGTGGTTTTTTATTAAATGTGACTGTGAAATAAGCCACCATGGGCCCAAAGAAAGTT